ATATAGCTTTATTACTCTGAAGGTCTTTGCCTTGCACTTTCAGGTACAGATAAGGTTGGATGCAGAAAATGGTGGTCTTGAAAGTAATGCTGATGTTCTGTGTGCTGTGTAAAAGGTGTCTGTCCTCTCTCCTGTTTTAACCACTGCCTTAAACTTAACCGCTGTGTTAACCGCAGGCTGTTAATGTTGCATGTGCTCTTGGGAGTAAGGTAAACCTTTTGCTTGCTAGTTGTTGGTTAGTAAAGAACGACTCCACCTTCTGACATGTAAAGGGTTTTTTTGATTTTTTTTTTTTTTTCTCTTTTTAGCTATAGGTGAGATACTTCCTTCTGTGAAGTATGTTCACAGGGCATGTGAAAAGAGAAGGCAGCAGTCAAAAACACACTTCATAAGCTAATGGCTTTGTGATCTGTTGCTGGGATTTCTTGTGGCCCCAGACACTTTTGTGAAATACAGAGAGGACCAAAATGAAGAAAGGTCAGATGGTTTGGGTATGTCTGCAAAGGCTGTGGAGAGGCTCTGAAGCTGCTCTTTAGAGCACAGTCTGTTCATGCTGACAGTGAGCCAACAACCATATGTAGTAGGAAAGCACCCGAACACATGGGAATCCACATGCCCGAGCATACGCACGGTGATCTGGTACTCTAGTAAGTGGCTTAGTACATCACCAGGCGTGCTCGTGCAGCCTGCTTATACTCTGCTTGCCAGCAGTGCTGGCTGGAACATGCGCAGGTCAGGCTTCTGTGCTTCTGTTTGTATTTCTAAGGTTATCCTTTAAGTGTAGATAGGGTCTTTATGTCTGAATGCCTGTACTTGGCTTGTACTAATCCAGTACAGAGTCCTCTTGGTTGTCTCTCCCTCTTGAAGAGTTCCTGAGGGACAGCAGGAGTGTACTAAGTTTCATGCAAGTTGCACAGTCAGTGCTTCTGAAGAGCATGTTTTCCCTGCTTATCCACATACGCAAGTGAGTTTATGCGATTTTTGTGTGTGTGTGTATGAAAGTTATTGTAAGGTCAAGGGAAGTTTTTGTACAGATGTTTTCAGCTGCTGCTGAAGTAGTGTGTGATAGTCCTAGAGGAGCCTTCTGATTCCCCTGACATTTTTAGTAGTCAGATTTAGACAACTTTGCTTGTAGGAGACAATAAGAAGTGAGACTAAATTTACCTTCCTTGAGATATATAATCATGGAGTATGATTTTCCTTTTTCCTTTGTTTTCTCCCAATAGAAAGCAAAACTTTATTGGGGGTGCTGAAGGGGCAGAGTCTCAACACGCTGTTTACATGACAAGGGGACTGAAATAAAGAGCATGTTTCTTGGGGCAAGAGAACAAGGTTATTCTGCAGATTGTGTGAGTAGGCTGCAGAACTTTGGGGCAAGTGGTACTGATGTTCATCCTGAAAAGATGTGATAGCAGGAAAGAGAGCTCATTTGTACATCAAAATGTCCGGGAAAGACTGGAGTTTTGCTTCCAGCTGTTTTTGAGTGTACCATGGTAATTCTTAATGCTTGATTTTTCTTATAGATAGAGTAGTTAGAGATTTCCTTGTATAGATGGCTTTTAAAAGTAGAACTGGCTTTTTAAAAGTCGAACCAAAGCTATACTGCCTTCCAAACATCCTGTCCTGAAACAGGTGCTTCACTGTTAAATAACACCTGTAATTTCTTATAATTAAAGCTTAGGGAGACAAGATGAAGTGGTAAGGATGTCCAGTTCTTCCCTTTTTTTGTTGGCTTTGCTTCCTATACTTCTTATTCCTTGCAGCTTTTGTATCTTAGTATGGTTTTTGTGCTTGACCTTATTTCATGTACTTTTATGTTTCTGCTAGTTTCTTTAATTGTGCAAAGATGTTCAGTATATAAAGCACTTCTTTGATTTCAATTACTTCTCTACCATGGGTTCCTCTGTGACTTGAGCTCTTATTTCTTGGTACTAATATAGCCAACTCATAGGACAAGTACATCATGTTTGTTAGGTTGCTATGCTTTGTGGACTGTATTACTGATGGGGTGGGAGCTGTGTTAGCAATAGTCAGAGAATTTATTTGGCATAGTCTTCCAGAATGGGACTTTCATTCTGACTGAAATCTTTTAACTGGGTATGAACTGCAGCAATGTCTAAAGAGCAGCATTAGGCTGGAACTTTTGTAAATTTAATACCCCACGGTGAAATTCTTCCCTTTTTTTTTAAGGGAGGGGAGCAGTAGGTGTGCAAATAGGCTGCTTAATGGAGATGTCAACAAATATTAAAGTTGAAATATGGTGTTGTATATACTTTAGATCTAGTTTCACCTACAATAAAGGTAAAATATATGACTGCATGCTGGGGTGAGATAACTTTTTCCCCTCACTTGTGTCACAACACTTCCTCAAATGTATAATTTTTGTAATTTTGTTTGAAAAGGACAAAAGTCAGGAGTGTATATCTGTGCTCACTTTTTTGTCTTTGTGGCAAATATCCAACCTGTTGGCAATTAAACTTAGCTCTGGGCCACAGCTTATTATTCAAGGTGAAGGAATAAATTTGAGAAAGACAGTTTCTGTTGGCTCTTGGGGCTGACCAGTCTGGATCCACTGTGGAGACTTGAGCACAGGTGGTGGGCTTAACAGAAGAAGCAATAATTACCTGAAAGGGTAAAATAAGCTTCGCTCCTGATCTGGCAGAGGAGAGAACAATTCTTGCCTGATGGTGGAGGAGTAGTTCTGACTGCTTTTTTCGGGGGAGAAGGGGAGATTATTTGGTACTTGGCTTCTTATAGTTACAGGAAAGCCAATGATGAATGAGGAGCTGCCCTATGTTGGTCAGCACAGCAGTGGTGAGATTGACCCTCCATGATGTGAACTCGATAAGTTCAACAATGTGCTGGTACCATGCTATTCATAGTAAAACTGAGTTGACTTTGTCCTGTTACCTCAGGCTAACTCTTTGCTATTAATTACTCCATGGGGAGAATAAACAGCTTTAAAAACAACAAAACCAATATAAAACTGGAAGGAAATTAAATAATAGTGGTGCTGTGGGTGCTTCAGGAATAGAAGTGAGTGGTGACATAAGCTTAGGTCCGTTTAAGAACCATTACTTGAGGATGGAGGGATTTATTTTTTTCCTGTTTGTCCCTCTGGGATACAGCTAAGGAAGCTTCTTTCTGTGCCTTTTACCTATACCTGTTAAAAAAAAAAAAGTAAGTTTTTGAGTGAGCTGGGAATGGCTTTTTCTTTAAGAATGCATCCTTGTATTTTGGAATATGAAACTAGTCTTAGTCACAGTGTCAATACTTTTGCTCAGTTGAATTAGGTTTCTGAAGAGCTTTTCGTCTGCGAAGTTAACTTCAAATTTGTAGTTAGTTTGGTAGTGAAATGTTTTAAGATTGTAACCTGTGGAAGAAAAAATATAACTTTTATTCAAATAAGTGATCCCAAATTTTATACTAGATAGTACTCATTCTTCTGCTTGGATGCTCAAATGAGTGAATGGTTCATTTTAAAATAGATTGTGTCGATATCTATATTATCTAAACAATGTTCTAACAATAAATGAAGATCATAGAGGTGGAATTTTGGGGGGTTTCTTATATTTATAAGGGGAACAGAATTCAGTGACTAGTTATTTTGTGCATTGTTCAAGGAACCAATTTAGAAGTTAGGTTACAATAATGGTAAATGTTTTTATCAGTAAAATTTCTTGCATTTAATCTCATTTTGTATTTGTAGTCTTTATAACTGTTCTTCATCTGTTGCATACATATTTTACATGGTTGGACTTGTATTGCATTATTAAATGAACTTGACTTGTTTCATAAATAATTTTTACTCTTATAAAACTTGGTGTGTGTGTTGTTTTTCTTTTTAAACAGGATCATACTGATGACACTTTCGGATTTGGAAAGATCGTGGTTAGTATATTCACTAAGGTGAGTGTCTTATACTGTCCCCAAGAAAGTGCTTTATAATTTAAGTTCTTCCTCAGTGAGTTTGCACTGATTTTTGTTGTTGTTGTTGTTATTGCTGCTTTGTATGCTTCATTTGACCTGTAATGTCAGAATGCTGAAAAATAAAAATATATTCAGAGCATTAAATGTTTAAAGACCTGTTGTACAAATCATGAAGCACATAGAAATGATGTGGCTTCTCTAAATCTTTAGGAAACTGAAATTTATTGTAGCGTCCTGTATCAAGTGCTATATCTGCATGGTTTGCTGTGCAGAAGTTTATTAATAAACATACAGTCTTTTGATTCTTCTTGTAGGTGTGTTAAGAAACATTAACAATGAGGAAAATTCTGGGGCTCAGAAGCAAAGTAGCTAGTGTTACTCAGATAATCAGGATGATGGCTCAGGAGGAGAAAGGAAAATGTTAATGCTTCTAAGACTTGATTTAGAAAGCAGGTCATAGCTTCCAACAGTATTTTTTGGCCAGTTGTGCTTTACTTTCTAACAGGCTGATACTATTCTAATCTCTTTGAGAAGTGAAATGGGTGGCATCAGAGATACTGACTTATGCATGTTTATGTTCAATGTATGAGAAAGTAATGACAAAAAAGCTTATTACAACTCAGGTGGGATGTGTGGTGGATTAAGAAGGTAGAATAGATAGTCAGAATTATGCAAATATATTGAAAATGAAGAAAAGTTGGTGGTTATTGAAGCAAAAAAAAAAAAGGAAATGCTGAGAGTTTGAAGGAGAATGGTGGAGGCATGTCATCTGTGATGCAAAGAATATTTATCCAAGTGTTTTTGTTATATGTGATCTGATGATGGGACAATATTGGCCCAAGACAGGAAAGGGAAGTATAGCAGTTTGGATAGTACTGTGATATTGCCATACAGGTGAAATTGTAACTGATATTTTGAGAATTAATACTACAGTGTCTGGTTAGTCTCAATGACTGGAAAAAAAAAACAAACCAAAAAACCAAAAAACAACCAAACCCTGTTTTTCTGTGGCTACAAAATGTGATCTGAATAGGTTCTTAAAGCTGACAATATTCTCTTTCCAATGTTGCAGGTGTGACTTCAGTTCTCTACAGAAAGTGAACTTGGTTGTGTTCCTGTAATACAGGTGTGTTCCCTAAAGAAGGTTGTTCATTCTTTTCTAATATATGAAGTCATGTATGTTTAGAATAGCTATATTTCAGTATCGAAGGAGATATTCTCACAAGTTCTATCTTCTTTATATACTGATCAAATTAGACTTCCTTCTGTAGTAAAGGCCTTCTTGAGATGGCATACATGGATAAACTCTTTCAGTTCTTTGAGATTTGGGCATACTCAGTCACCTGTACATTTCCCCTGATAAATAATAGAAAACCAGAAGTTTAGACTTAACTGCCTCTAATTCTACTCAAACTGATAAAATGTCTGGTTTGAATGACTTGTATTTAGTTTCATATAAAAATCCTTTTGGCGTAGATTTGTCTTAGCTTTCAGTTAAATTGTAGAAAGCTTTGTCATGAGAATTTTAAGTAGTTATCAAGGACTGTTTTTTCTTACTGTGTTCCTGAATGCATTAAGGAGATGAAGCCAATATGATACCCAATTAAAATGGTACATGCTGTTACTGCAAATACCCTCTTCATATCTAGACTTTGTTAAACCTTTTTTACCTTTTTTGTCTAGGAAAATGTCTTGATGGAGGTCATCAAACTAGAGAAGTGTTATGTCACTTCATAAATAGTCAGGCAAGACCTTGCGGCTAATTTCTTGTAGATCTTGATTCGTGAATGTAGAAACATAACTCCATTAAGGAAATATAGATTACAGGGAGATGAGTTAGTGTGAGGGAATTGGAAGAGGTGTCTTTTAAACCAGTATTTAACTAGTGCTGAAAGACATTCCACATTTTCAGTGTACGAGCTAAAAATTGCGAAATCTGCAAGTAGGTCCAGATAGGGCAATTTTTAACACTTCTCGTGGTCAAAGATAGAAAGCTTATAATTTAAGTCCTATTTTATCAATTTATGATAAAGACGGAGGCAAAATATTTAAAGAACCAACATACACAGATTTGTATCATAATCTGGGACTTGTAGAACTCATATCAGCTTTGAGACGTTATGCAGAATGGAATGTTGTGAATAAATTCTTCTTAAGTCTGGCCAACACAAATGTACTTTTAACAGTTGGTAGATGTGCAGCATTTTAAATTAAGGCATGTTAACATGGGCTGTGGTCCAAAATGGTTAGCTTGAGATTTGAACACTGTTCCAAATTTTTGTTCCAAACATTCCTTCTGCATATTCAAATGAAGCACTTAAAGTGATGTAATTGTTTGCCACACAAATGTTGATCTTCTGAACTTTTGATTTTGATTCTTGTATTTCTTTGCGTTACATGGCAGCGGCATGTACCAACAGACTTAGCTTCCCAGATTTAATAGAAGAGCTTTCAGATTTTCTTTTTCCTGCTG